CCCCCCCCCGCCCGCCCCCCCGCCCACACCCCCCCCCCCCCCCCCCCGCCCACCCCTCACCCACACCTACACCCACACCCCCCCACACCCACACCGACACCCCACACCCACCCACATCTACACCCACCCACATCTACACACACCCACACCCATACCCACCCACATCCACACCCATACCCAGCCCATTTTAGACGTCAATTCCAATAAAACCACAATTACCTGATGCTGAATGGATTAAGCTCCATTCGAAACGATCGTCGTAAGATAGCTTGGAATACTCTCATAACGACACCCACCTACACCCACACCCACACCGTAACTACGTTCATTCCATATCGTCTGAATTTTGACAAAAAACAACGATGCAAATGACGGGGTCGTTAAGCGCACAAATTGACTACCTAAACAAGCTCTTTCTTTGAGAACCTGATTTGTGTCCTTAACGACCTCATTCTTTTGTCTTTACTTGATAACCATTTCTTTGTAATCGTAATTCTTTTCTACGACATATAATTGTTGCAGAGCAAACAGTAAAAATGAGTATCACCAGGGTACGTAACTTCGTCTTTCTTTCTTAGTGTAGTTGTCGAAATTCTAATGCTATTTCTTTCCTTACGTGCTGATACTCCATTATCTTATCGTAGGCAAGATATTTTTATTATTCGTTGTTGTGTCATTGTTTTTAGATTTAATTATAAACAAAGATTCACATAAAACAATTGCTTATTGAGTCAATGAATACGAGATCAGATCAAACAACTAAGGACGATTCAACAAAATTGAATGATACTGTTTTGCATGAAGATGATTTGACAGAACAAGCTAAAAATCAATTTAGCTATCACAGTGATATATTTCGTACGTTGGAATCATATCGTCAAAGCGTACTTCATAATGTGCATATAACTCATTTGGGTCGAAATTTTTTTCTATCCGAACTTGATATTCTACACAGAAATTGTAAGCATGTTCTAAATTATGCAGCCGAACATAATGAGATTTTCAATAAAAATTTGCCTACTATTGGTCCATTGGTAGTTTGCGGTCCTGCACGTACAGGTACAACATTACTCTACAATTTGCTTGCCTGTGATCCGAATTGTCGTGCCCCATTGTACACTGATATGAATGTTGAAGTTGTTCCACCGATTGCACGATCCGATTCGATCGGACAAAAACGACGAATCGATATTTTAAATTCTTCTTATTCGTACAATGAACAGCTCTACAAATTACTCACTCAATTAGCTGCACATCATGCACATTTTGATATTGAAGAAGATTATGTTATTCTACGGCAAGGTGGCTATTTTCCTATGTTTCCTCTTTTATCGGACGATGAAGATTCCAGTTCTGAGATTTGGATACGTAAGGAAATGAAAAAAGAATATGCATATGATTATCATGAAGTATTTTTACGTATGTTAAATAGTGTTGATATGCCAAAGTCACATTGGCTATTAAAATCACCGTTTCATATTTTTTCTTTGAATACATTTCTTCACCATTATCCGAATGCATTATTAATAATGACTCATCGACGTCTTGACGAAGTTCTTCCTTCATGGTGTAGTTTATTATTGGCAGCTGGAGATGGATATTTTGACAAATCGAACTCAATCAGTCGAAATAGAATAATAAAACGATGTTGTCAATGCCTCGATACAGAAGTTGAATGTATAATGAAATTTCGAACATCAGAAAATGGCAAAGTTGATCAATCGAAAAAAAATATTTTCGATGTTACTTATGATAATTTGATGAAAGATCCAATTGGTATTGTCCATCAAATATATCACTATTTTAATCTTCATTGGTCGAATGATATGGAAATGGCTATGCGCAAATGGATTCTCGAAAATCCTCAAGGAAAACAAGGTCGTCATACGTACTCTCTTGCTGAATTTGGTTTTAATCAAGAAGATATTTCAACACGTTATGTTGATTATATCAATTTGTTTCTGTCATCGAATAATTAATTATTAACAACAAATTTAATTTTATCATAATTGAAACAATATTTCGTATTGAGCGTGTGGGTGTTGAGTGGATGTTGGTGAAGATTAAGATATTGACTCTAATTTACAGCCATACCGTCACCTTCATTCATCCACACACTCACACTCACACCCCACCCTAAGATAATCCGAGTTTCATACTGATTCTCAGTCTAGTGTCAAATTTTCGGCTCGTCAGGTTTTGTATTTTGACACACTTATTTTAATGAAAAAAAATTTTTTCTTCATCCCCAAATTTGATTTTCTGTTACTAAAAGGACATAAAAGAAGTTTAATGTCATTAATATTAATTGTTCATGATGTTAACACAGTTAAAATTTCAATTAATAAATCTGCAACAATATCATTTAAAAATTCAAATATATTTTTGCATTAATTGCTGTTAATAAATTTTGTTCATTTTTAACATTTTAGAACAATTAAAACACTACAAATATCTGATTGTAATGATGATAACATTCAATTTAAAATAGAAAAAAATTCAGATAAATTTTCTGATTTTTGAAAAAATAATGTTCATCTAAATTAAAATCTACATTGACAAGCTAAAATCTTTGAAAATCAATAAAAATAAAAATAAAAATAACTTTCTTTTACTGCGTTCAATATAGTTAAACTTGCTTATTTATATTATTTACCGGATATTATTTGACGAAGTTCATGAGTATGATTTTCTTCAGATATTGCTGACCAATTATCGATGAGAAGCTAGCACCACACAACGAGCTACCACGACGAACAAAAAAATATCATTCGACAGAAACCGACCAATTCGAAAACAACATACAGAAAACATCAAAACGGAGGACATAACCATGGACATGGCGTCCTTAACAACAACAGCAAAACAACACTACACCTAACTATCAAACATTGAACAACCACTCATTACTCGACCAACTAATCCTACCAAACTACAAACCGAAAAAAAAATATCCAATACACAACGTAATGTTTCTCTCTTCACGAGCATCGCCGGAACATGAGTCGTACACCATTCGATGCAGAATCTAATTCTGCATAAGAACGTATTCATGCAATGTTGGGTGTGGGTGTGGGTATGGGTAGGTGTGGGTGTGGGGTGTGGGTATTTCTTAGACAGCTGTCTGCACCCACACCCACACCCTATATAATAGTTGGGGTTTTATTTGACTATGATAGGAAAAGTTATTCACGAAAGCGGGAAGGGGTCGATTTTCGTATAGGTGGGCGTAGGGAAAAATGACTATTTTTGAAATAACTCAGGAACGGCTCGGCCGATCATTCTCATCTTGGAACACGACTGAGATATTGTTGAGACTAAACTGTGCAGAAAATTTCATCTTGATCTGACTCTCCTTTCAAAAGTTACCGTGTTAACGGACGGACTGCCGGACGGACACACTGACCGATTCTAGAGTATACTCATTCTTTGAGTACACAAAAAGAAGATATTATCCAAATATAAACTAATTTGCTGCGCCTCAAAACTAATGAAATACCTAATGTACTATTGAATTTTGCCTAAATTTAGAATTGAATTAATTCATAATTTTCTATATTCGTCGTATTCGGATTTTGCCAGATTAATAATATCACTGCATTAAAAAAAATGGGGAAAAGAATGTTCTTTGAATAACTTTTGAGAGAAATAAAACAGAGTGGTGCGGTTTTCATTATTGAAAAGAGAAGATGAAGCCAGGTCGAATCATATATTATAAGATTTTTCTGAGATGTTTTTTTTTTAATCAAATTTCTAAAAAAAACGATCAGACTATTCTTTCAAAAGTTATCATGTAAACGGGCGGCCGGACAGCCGGACACACTGACCGATTCTAGAGTGTACTCACTTTTTGAATACACAAAAAGTGAATGAGACAAATCAGTCATCCTAGAATGCGTAGATATACAAATTAGCTTGGCAAACCTTTTCTATAAACAATTGAATTCTATTGACTACTGCTCAACCAATAGGATTTGTGGGCGAATACAGCTCAGATTTGAACTCTTCGCCGTAATTTACCCTCAGAAAGTCGTTCTTTCTATAACTTGATTTTTATTGGTCAGTGCTCAACCAATAGGGCATCGAAACAAGTGGAGTACAGATTCGAGTTCTCCATCGCAGAAAACCTTCAAGCATCACCTCTTATCGGAAGATAGTGCTCTAATTGTGGATCAGTTAGAGCGTGCATAAGAACAGAACCGATTTCCGTTTATTTATCTTTGCAATAGGTGAGCTAGCCTTCTTGTTTCTTTATGTTTTATATACCATTTTGTAGCTCGTAAAATTCTCTATCGAATGGTATATAATAGTTGGGGTTTTGTTTGAGTATGATAGGAAAAGTTTTTTACGAAAGCGGAGATGGGTCGATTTTCGCATAGAAAGCCATAGGCAAAAATGAGTATTTTTGCAGTAACTCAGGAATGGTTCCGCCAATTCTTCTCATCTTCGAACTTGACAAAGACATTGTTAAGACTGAACTGTGTAGAAAATTTCATCGCGATTGGACTCTCCTTTCAAAAATTATCGTGTAAACGGACGGACAGACACACTGACCGATTCTAGAGTGTACTCACTTTTTGAGTACACAATTAGAAAAATACTAATACTTCGTATAAGGCTTAAAAAAATAATTTAATGCTTTTGTGTGTTAGTGTTAAAAAAATAATTTAATACTTTAGCATTAGGGTTAAATTAGCATTAGCATAATGCAAATGCCATCATAATAATGTAAGCATTTTTCAGATATATCAGTTTAGTTCCAAGACTATCGCCGTATCCACTCGACTTTTCTTTATATTGTGTATATGAGCCAGTCCATGTAAGCCCCGGCCAAAGTTGCTCAATTTAAAATATGTTGTAGAGGAACACGTTTTATGAATTTTGACGCCAGCCGATTCAAAAAATATTGATCCCTCGGTTTTTTATGAGCATTTTACGAAAAGGCCTAAAAATGACCTCATATATAAATGGGGGTCCTAATAAAACGATATCTCACGAATGGCTCAACCAAATGAGCTGAAATTTTCTATTGCCGTATATCTCAGTGAATTCTATTTATCATAAAACTTTCGTTTTAAAATATTGAGCCATTGGGATTTTATGAAGCACTCAATATATGAAAAAAGGTCCATTTTCGGTAAATTTGGCGCTTCATAACTTTTGATAAGAATGGCATAGAGATCTGAAAATTTCACTGTTAATAGGACACTGAGAGATGTATCTTTCCTGAAAATATCAGCTATTCATACCGTTCTATTTGATCGGGACAGCCCCGTGAAAAACGAAATTTTGATAAATGTGGGCACTTTCAGGATAGGCTTTCTTCCAAGAAATAGATTGTGTGGGGCACTGGTTATTAGAACTTTGAAGTACTCTCTTTGGGCTACAATTCTATAAAGAAATTAGCGTGGGATCTCTAAGAATGGCCCCTAGTGTACTGCGTGATCGATATTTTTGATCACGATCACGATCCCGCTCACGAATTTTTTTTTGTTTTGATAGTCACGATCACGATTACGATCACGAAATTTTACACACTACAAATCACGATCACGATCACCAATTTTCCAGTTCAAATTCACAATCTCGATCTCAAGTATAATATAATATTTAGAAACATGAGAAAAATATTTTATCGGTCGACCATGCCATCTATCTGATATATTGTATTGAATATGGTCAAAGGGAATAGAAGCCAAGAGCAAAAGTCGATGATTTTCGTTTATTTATATGCACGAAAATACCTTAAAGATGTAGCGAACTTTGATTTATTTTCATTAGAGGGTTATATTTCTAAAATAAATAGCTGAAATTTTGAACGTCATATTACAATCGTAGTTACTAAATCTTAGATTCGATCACGATCACGACCACGATCACGAAAAAGAAACTATTTGTAACTCATGATCACGATCACGATCACGAAAAAAACTTCTAATCACGCACGATCACGCGTGATCGTGTTCGTGATCGTGATGGTGAAATTTTTGACCACGCAGTACACTAATGGTCCCAGGGCACTCATTGCAAAATACAAAAAAATGAGACTTTTTTATAGGAAATCTGCCTGAGTACACTTCAAAATTTCTCCAAGGATTCTACTATGTGATATAAATTTTATGTAGTAAAAATCAGCATTTAATTCTCTATTACCCTGTATCAAAATATCCTTTCAAAACAAAAAAAAATTCGTGAGCGGGATCGTGATCGTGATCA